GTGAAGAAGATGAAGAGTTAGGATGGTATAGATGGGATTAGGTTGGACTTAAGGACCAGCAGGGGAACAGATCAGCCAGAAACAGAAGCAACTGTACAACGCTGCCCGTGTGTTCTGGACTCACAAGCAGAAATGTTTACACCCGTGCAATGACTTGAGTTTCATTAGGGAAATAGTAAAAACATTTTTTTTTTCCTGGGTTAGAGTTTCACTCCATCGCCCAGGATGGAACGCAGTAGCCCACTCACAGCCAACCCAACGTCGACCTGCTGGGCTTAGGTGATCCTTCCGCCTCAGCCTTCCAAGCAGCCAGAAAAAACAGATTTTTAAAAGAGACCTGCAACGGCTCAATACCAGAAGCAGCCATAACTTGGCTCATAATAAAGCCAAGTTACGTTGTTATTTTCTTATGTCTCCTGCCTGGCTAGCACAAACCTGACCGACCAGGGCCAGAGTGTGGCTGAAAACAGGGACCCCACACAGACTACATCTGACAATGCTCTGTTCAAATCAAGACACATCTCTTGCTCCATTTTAAAGCACGTGTCCTAACCCCTGAGGGTCCACCAATGTCATGCTCTCTCTGCACGATGTTACCGAAAGATTTATTTTGAGCTGATGTATTAGCGTTACGAGATTTGATTTTTAAATCTTAAATACTTAACAAAATACATGTTTTACTTCTTTTGTCTGAGATGAAGCGTTTAAGGAGTAATAGGCACCACAATAATAGCTGCGTGGTTTGGGTTGCCAGTAAAAAGGTGTTTGCACGAAGTGCTACCTTTTCTTAGGAAGCCCTTGCATGCCACACTGCTCAGCAACACACAAGCCAGCTGTGACACCATATTCATCTTTAATATTCAGGCTCAAATCAAGTCTTTCCAGAGATACGACAGATTCAGTCTTTTACACCAAGCAAGTGCAAGTTGTCACTGTAATGTCATCTTCAGGTCACAGCAGAGTTTTCGTTTTATAACTTATTTTGGATTGGGTTTCTTTTTTTTCAATTTGACCTCTTGGGTCTTTCTTCTCTGCTGTGTTTCCACTTAGTGTTTTTTATTCCTAAAAATCTTTATAAGGTTTTCCCTTCATTTTGGGAATCAAATGTAAATTCCTTAGCATGGCACTCAGGGCCTGTCACGAGCTGGTTCCCACACACTTCTTTCATTTCCTCTGCTTCAGCCAAATTAGACAACCACCTTCCCAGTGTGTTCTTGGATGTTCCTGTTCTCTGGCCTGCATTATTTTCTTTCTTTGGTGATCCCCTTTGCTGGGTAAGTCCTGCTCATCTTTCCAGACTCTTCTGGATTCTTGGAAACTTCTCTTTGACTCCTTCAGATTGATTAGGGGCTCTTCTCCTGAGGTCCCATGCACACCTTGGTCACAGGGCTTGTAACACTGGGTTTCAGTTGTTTCCTGGGAACTCCCTGAGGGACAGGGATTTCGCATCCTCCTCCTGTCCCTATCCTTTCTGTGTGTTTGATTTATCTGAGTTTCTTACTATTTTTGACAAAATTGAGTCTTCTCTCCTTTGTTAGAGTTATTCTTGATTCCTGGGAATTTTGACCAGAGGTCCAAGACATTTGTTTATGAATTTGTAAGTTATTTTTTGAAGTATTCATCCTGTGTCAAGGATCCTGCTATTTACTTGCTCCTGATATTTGGAGGCTATGAGAGTCAAGCATCAGATGAAGGTTACGGTAAATACAGCATGAATAGAAGGTCTAGAGGCACAAAACATTAAAATAAGAATTTTTGAAGATGCCAAGTATGAGGGAGGCCATTTCATGGTTTTATGAAATTGTCCACAAGGGAAAGAAATGTTAAAAGAGTGTCTTGAATACATATTTTTACAGCTATTATACAAAAGTTAGCAATGGGCCGGGTACGTTGGCTCAGGCCTGTAATCCCAGCACTTTGGGAGGCCAAGGTGAGAGGGTTGCCTGAGTCCAGGGGTTCGAGACCAGCCTGGGAAACTTGGTGAGATCTCGTCTCTACAATAAATAAAAAATTAGCCAGTCATGGTGGCTCACGCCTATAGTTCCAGCTACTTGGCAGGCCGAGGCAGAAGGATGATCTGAGCCCAGCAGGTTGAGGCTGCGGTGGCCGTGAGCATGCCACTACACTCCAGTCTGGGACTCTGACTCAAAACAAAAACAAACAAACAAAAGTTAATTATGACTCTGTGGTGTGCTAACTTCATCAACTATGTATTCTAAGCTCAGAAAAGGCTTCTTGGTGGTTTTCTTCCAAAAAGTAACTTCTGCCTTTGTAGAAGACAGCTGTAGCCTCCCTCCCTATGACCTGGGGTGTGTAGGTTCTGGAAGTTTTATTTTATTCATATATTTAAAAACTCACCAGATTTTTGTTTTTATATTTAATATATTTAGAAACATACTGAAAGTTTTAAGGATAATGTAGACTTTCCATTTTAGGACGATGCTAGAAATGGCAACTTAGTCTTACATGTGGGTAACACGTTTTATATCTAGAACCTCTCTATTGGCTCTTTCAGAAATCAGATCTAAGGGGGGTTCCCCCCCCCTTTGTTTTATTTGGAAAATATTGAAAAATGGGCAAAAAGTAAAAGAAAAAAAATGATCTCTTACTAGAAAGTGGGGTAGGATATTATATTTCTAAAAAAGTCTCCCTATCACCCAGTCCTACCTCATGCTGTTAATACCTTTGCACCTATTCTACTGATGTCTAAAGGTGCCTTATAAATACTGTTGTTAAAAATATGTAGGGACGTGTTATCTATCTTTTTTTTTCTTTGAGTCAGGGTCTCACTCTGTCACCCAGGCTGGAGTGCAATAGTACGATCACAGCTTACCTTAGCCTTCGACCTCCTAGGCTTCCCACGTAGCTGGGACTTCAGGTGTACACCACAATACCTGGCTAATTTTTTTATTTTGTTTTTATTTTTGTAGAGACGAGGTCTGCTATGTTGTCAATGCTGGTCTCGAACTCTTGAGCTCAAGCAGTCCTCCTGCCTCAGCCTCCCAAATTGTTGGGATTATAGGTGTGAGCCTGGCCTCTTGTATCTTTTATGATAGCAACTTTAAAACTTCCTTTTCATATTTATCTAGCTTTGTTATGCTTTGATCTTTATTTATTTTGATCACTGTTTTGTTTTGTTTTTTTTACAAAATGAATGCAGCATATTGGTTTTAAAAAGTCAGATAGTGTAGATGTGGGAGGAAGCCAAATTTCTCCTGTCACTGTTCTCAGGGTACCTTGTCAATGTCTTGGTGAGTATTCTTCTAGATAACTGTGAACTTTCTGATAGTGTTGTAACATTGTCTCCTCTATTTTTTTAAAACAAAAAATGGAGTCTCACTCTCCATACTCAGCCGCTTGTGGTTTTCACCCTTTAATTCTTTATTTCATGGCCACTCTGCCCAGTTACCCACGTGTGAGTCCGTCCCAGGCTCTTTATCAGCTGTGTACTGTTTCACAGGGTGGATTTGCTGTCACCTAGTAAGCCAGGCTTCCATGAGGGTGTCCCCAGGATTTTGCTAGTGCAGGTTGTGGTGCAGTAAGCCTTATACCTTACACATAGTGTGCATTTCTTTTTTCTTTTTTTTTTGAGTTGGAGTCTCACTCTGTCGCCCAGACTGGAGTGCAGTGGCCGCTCCCGGCCACTGCAGCCTCGACCTGCTGGGCTCCGGCGATCCTTCCGCCTCAGCCTTCCAAGTAGCTGGAATTACAGGCCTGTGCTACCACGCCCGGCTGATTTTTTGGTTTATTGTAGAGATGAGGTCTCGCTGCCCAGGCGGGTCTCGAACCCGCGGGCTCAGGCAATCCACTCACCTCAGCCTCCCAAAGGCACGGGATGACAGGCTGAGCCACCGAGCCCGGCTAGTGTGCATTTCTGTAGGATGGTGCCTAGATGTGGACTAGCTTGATGGAAAGGATTGCACATGGAAACTTTTGCTGTGTTTTAAAGCTTAGCCTTTTCTTCAAGACTTTCAGCGGTATTTAACCATAAACAATAACTTTCTGCTTTGAGAGTAAACTCTAATTGGAGAGGGTTCAGTGAAACATTTAGGGAAGATTTTAGTTGTTTTTCTCCCCATGTTTTAACCTAAATGTATGGGAAGTGCGGAAGCTTTGAGAGGAGGTGTTATTTAGTCTGCTTGTTGTCTAAAGAAGAAATGTATATTCCTCTTGGTGGTGTCTCCTGGGTAATGCTGTTTTCTGGGTGTTGATCATCTTCATGGGCTGCCATGTTTCTGGTTAATTCTGTTCCATGCAGTATGGTATAGGACAGAAATAGAATTGTTCTATAGGGTAGTTTATTTTGAAGGAACTGGATGAAGGTGGCCTCATCAATAAAAATAGAAGCCCCAGATTGTCATTTTGCATATCCGTTTTAAATTCTTTTCTTATAACTTTGAAAACAGTTGTGATTGTGCCTTAGTGAGTGAAAGAATGCTTCTAGATGAACTTTAAACATCCCGCACCCCACTCCTCCTCCACTTGAGACTTTGAGCCCTACTTTTAGTTTGTGAGAGTGAGTTTCTAAAGTTATGAGTTCAGAACCTTTCACAGTGCCACACGCAGCAGGATAATAGATTCCATTTAACTCAGTTCTTCCCTCTATGGTTTCAAGTCCAATAAATTCCCTCTGTTTTTGTAAACAGACATCAAATTGCTATTTAAGAAATGTCTCACCGATTTCAAATTCATATGTAAAAGTCAAATGGGCACACAGTCTCTATTGCTATGAAATTTGCCTACATGTCTGGGGGCCTCAACGATCCACCCATGTGAGACAATACAGACACATAATGGAAGATGGATGTTTGTGTTTCAGATAGAACTTTATTTTGGCTTTTTAAAAGTGACTTTATTCTTCTTTATTCTAAGACCCCATAATCTTTCTAGTTTGATTTGTAAATATGTATCTGGTAATCTTTCTTTTTAAGATATACTTTTGAGGAGATGACATTTATTTTAAAGGTGATTATGTTTTCTCTCTCTCTCTTTTTCCACAGAAAACAAGCATCACTGTGGGTCCAAGGAGACATTTTCCGATCCAAACTGAAGAGTAGACCGCCCAGTGAAGGAAGTATTAATAAAATTCTTTCTAGCTTGGATGATATGTCTATTGGTGGAAACTTATCTAAATTACAAAACATGGAACGATTTGGAGAGGTGAGTTTTCTCTGGGAAGAGTCTATCTCCCTAAGATGAACGCTCTGTTTCCCATTTGGACATGTGTTACATGGCAGCATCCTTTCTCTGAGATGTTGAGAGTACCAGGCTTCTAGGAGTGAGCCATCGACCAGTACAGCAAGAAGCAGTGCAGGAGGCAGTTTATTTCTCTATCTGAGAAACATATTTACCTTGCAGGAGCATAGTGCTTTTGATATCATCTCCTTAGAAAGAAAAAAGCTGTACTTTATAGAGTGCATTTTTAAGGAGGCCACTATGGTATAGGGAATATTTACAGAAAGGAAATTAAAAAGCACCCACGTCCTATTTGAACATTAAAATGTCAAGGAGAGACATTTTAATGTGGCAGTTGAAGAAATAGTACATCTCAAAGCTCCAAGTTCATGCTGATTTGTGGAATAAGTGCAGAGTTGAAAACATAATTGGGGTAATTAAAAAAAATTAATATTAAGGCTTTCCTGTAAGCAAACTACTTTAAATAGTTGATATATATTGTCTGATTTAATCTTCATGACTTCCTGGTGAGTTAGGTGATATTACCTCTATTTTATGGTAAGGAAATTATATATCAGAGAGATGTTCTAACCTCAGTATAAAACATGATTCAATCCTTGTCTGTCGGATTCCAAACTCATGTTTTATCTATTACCCCCTGTTACCTCAGAATACAAACAGAAGGGACTTAACTAAGGGTCTGGTCATGAGCATTTTTGGAACCAGATGCAGCCTTGAGATGATTTGTTCTAGTTCCTGTCTTGTTCCGATAAGAAACTGTTGTTCCAGGACATTGATGACCTGCCCAGGATCCCAGAGTTGGTCAGGAGTGGGGTCGCTCTGAGCCTTGGAGTTAGCTCCTTCTGCTTCATTATACCTGAGATGAAGCCAAACACCTGGTTTATATGTGGCCTATATTTTTACATCCCTAAAGGAGCCAAAAAAAAGCTTAAAATATGTGAGCAGCAAGTATAGGTTTACCTTCCATTTGTCGAACCCAGTGGATTCGACAAAGGTCTTGTACAGAATCCTGCGTCTTGAGCTCAACCCTCTAGGAATCCAGACCAGAAGGGACACGTTATAGCTCTCTTAGGTCAGTGACTGGCAGCCCCAGCCAATTTCTTTTAGCAAGAGAAGCAGGCAGGGTGCTTGGAGATTGGGAGAGTGAGTTTTCTTCAAGGCAAAGAGTGAAGACTGCTGAGAGCAGTGAGTTTTAAACCCTGGGGCGTGTTTTGCTGGATGGTCACTGGAAGCTGGCTATGTCTACTCATTGGAGTCATCTGTCCTGATTGAATGTAAACGTTGGCCAAGGTTATGCTAGTGTTCAGAGCCTTGTCTTTGTGTTGCAGTCTGGTCTGTTAAAAGCAAACAAAAAGGACCCGAATTCACATTTTAGTGTGATCATATAGCTAAGCAAGAACACATGTTCCCTGCTCTTGTCAACATTTTCTGCCCAGGGTGACTTTAGATCAACAGGGCTCTGAGTTGTGAGCTTTGGAAGGATAGGCGGAGAGTTTATTTCTCCATCTGAGAAATGTATTTACCTTGCAGGAGCATAGTGCTTTCAATATCATCTCTATTATATCAACATCTGATAATTAGACCATTTTATTGTCATACTTTTCTAGACCCCAGTTTGTTGAACCTAAGAATAATAAACATTTATGTATTACTGGGAGGGTAAGAAATGCAATATGATTGCAATTTAAAATAAATCAGTTTCAAATGTCAGTGTATGTTCAGGTGTTGGGGTCTGCTCCCCGCCCTTCCCCCACTCCATCTTAGTCCATTCTTGCTGCTGTAATGAAACTCCATAGGCTGTGTGGCTTATAAACAACAGAATTTTTTTTTCTCACCATTCTAGGAAGTTCAGGATCAAGGCATCAGCAGACTCCGTGTCTGGTGAGGGCTTAATGTTCACAGATGATACCTTCTGGCTGCGTCCCCATGTGGCAGAAGGGACAAACATGCTGTCTCAGTTCCCTTTTATAAGGATACTAATCCCATTCTTGAGGGCTCCATCTCATGATCCAGTCACCTCCCAGAGACCTCCCCTCCTAATACCATCCTCTTGGGGGTTGGGATTTTGACATATGAACTTTTGGGGAATATAAGCATTCATACTGTATCACCCCCCCCTCAATAATTATTTTAACTTTAGCCAAAATAATCAGAGGACAAAAAAGAAAGAATTCAGAGATGCCAGAGAATGATGGTTGGTTAATATTTACACAGTGACATGTATGTGACTTTGGACTGCTTTGTAGCTAGCTGGTGCTTTGGGCAAGCCACTCTTAAAAATTCTTTGCTTGCCAGGCTTATCTGGTGCCAGCTCTAGAATATTACCTGAATACGGGAAATTAGTTACTCAAAATTGAACCTGGAGGCCACATAACATCAGTAAGGTTACCTGATCCTAAACCAGGTAAAGTAAGGACCAATGAGAGGCCTACACTTTACCTGTACGCAGACCACTTATGTACCTAATCCTGACTTGTACCCCGCATCTTTAAAATTAAATATAAAAAACACCCCAAAACACAAGATTGGACCTAAAAGAGTTACTGATATCTCTCTTATTCTTTTTTCTAATTTATTTTTATTATAAAGTTGTGGGGTACAGTTCACGGTTAGGTATTCAAACATTGATTATGCAGGTACTCTTGTTGATGATGTATTCCCTCCCTCCCCCAGCAGTTTCCCTCAACTACCAATCCTTCCCCGCCTCCCCTGACAGTTTCCCATTACTGCCAAACGCTTTCTTATAGTATTATAATTGTTCAAGGTCTGCTTATGAGTGAGAACATACGGTATTCTGTTCTTTGTTTCTGTGATAGATCACTGAGTATGATCGACTCCAGATCCATCCAAGTTGCTGCGAAGTCCATATATTTGTCCTTCTTTATGACCGCATAATATTCCATGTGTATATATACCACATTTTCTTTATCCAGTCCAGCTTCGATGGGCAACATGGTTGGTTCCATGTTTTTGCTATTGTGAATAGAGCTGCAACAAACATACATGTGCAGGTATCTTTTTAGTAGAATGATTTGAGATCTTCTGGGTATATTCCCAATAGGGGAATTGCTGGGTCATATGGAAGGTCAATTTCTAGTTCTTTCAGAAATCGCCACACTGTCTTCCAAAGGAGTTGCACTAGTTTGCATTTCCACCAGCAGTGTAGAAGCATTCCTTTTTCTCCACATCCTTGCCAGTATCTGTTGTTGTTTGTTTTATTAATGATGGCCATTCTTACTGGGGTTAGGTGGTATCTCAATGTGGTTTTGATTTGCATTTCTGTGAGGCTGAGCACTTTTTCATGTGTCTGTTGACTGCCTGTATATCTTCTTCTGAGACTCACCCCACTTCAAGGGACGCACACTCTCTGTTATAAATTGCAAGTGAAAAAAATAAGTTGAGAATGCTGTAAGGACTTAATGTGTTTCAAGTTCTATGCTAATTTCAGGGTAGAAGCCCATGGAAATTCTGGATTTTTTTAGTTTATACATACAGTGCAAAAAGGCAGTATTCTTCTAGAAGCTTCGTTTCTTTTTTAAAAAAATAAAAGATTAAAAGCAGAGATTCTAAAATATATTTCTTCTTCCTAGGCCTACAGGAGTATTCTTGTGTTTAATTATTAGGAAGCTCTGTATTACCTGATTTGGAGAATTTGAATATAGTTTTTTAGTGCTTAGGAGGTGAGAAGAGAACTGTGACCAGAATGCTGCAGGTCATGAATCTTCTTAGCCCACCTAGAGTGTTGATGAATCATTTAAAAACAGAGGTGTTCCCTTGGGAGCCCAGGCTGGACACTGTGACTTAACATACAACCATCCTGCGCATCTGGCTAGGCTCCGGCTCCTACTCCTGTCTGGCCTGTGCCCTGCCTCTTCTGTCCCCATCCCTCCCTCCCTGCTGGGTGATGCGCTCCCAAAGGCAAATTTTCTGTGTTCAACGTAGTTCTATTCCTGGCCCAGGACCTTAATAAATATTGCTTGAATGGATGAAGAAGGCATAGTCTCAGAGAGAAAGGGAAACAAATCCAAGGACAGAGCCCTGAAAATGGGTAATCAGCCAAGCTGCACAAGGGCGGTGTGTGTTCCAATACCACATAAGACCAGCGACCCATGCTCATCTTGACATCTGGGGGACCTGTGGGTCTGCTATGGATTGGAGTTGTTAAAAATTACCTTAAAAAGATGGAATTTAAGCTCTTGATTTAAAGTGCATATATTGACTGAGGATCTTAGCATGCGACAGCTGCCTAAATAGAATGTGGTATGTGCCAGGAGCTCTGTAAGCACTTAGCATCAATCAGCCCTTTTAATTCTTACAACAGATGTGTGAACTAGACACTGACACTAGGCCCATTTCCAGAAGGAAGTCAAGCTATCTGCCCAAGACCATGAAGTACTTGGTGGCACTGTCATTTGAACCCCAACACTGCCTGTAATAGATATTGCTTGAATGAATGAAGAAGACTTAGAGAGAGAGTGGAAAAAGAACCTTGGACAGCTCCCAGGAGGGCTCTGGCTGTCACCTGCTGCTGCCCCATGAGGTGTTAATGTGCCTTTAGTATGTTATATATGGTAATTTTGGACAAATCCCTGGCCAACTCCTCCTGATACATTTCTCTGGAGTTGTAAACTGGTTTTACCTTTTCTTTTCTACTCTGAGGCTGTCGGCCAGTGTTAGCACATCAATCAGTAGATGTCCTGGCTTAGCTGCATTAATGAGATGCAGGTGCTGCTTATGTTCAGCCAAGCTCACATAAGTTAACAATCAAGCAGACAGGGATGCAGTGTTTTAATTACATCTTTGAGACATTGTGATTATAAAATCCATCAAATACTCTTAAGCAAATTGCATCTTAGAACAGTCTGTGAAGTAAAACTTAAATCTCTCAGGCCCTGTTTTTAATACCTTTTCCCCTCATCTGACCACGAAGACATTCCAGTTCCAGTCTGAATGCTGCTGGGGTC